CACTCCCTCCCGTCCCCACTCACATGCCAGGCTCCCCCCGGAAGGTTCCGGCCCAGGACCACGTGGGGGATGGCTCGCTCCTTCTGGTGCTTCCAAGTGAGGACGGACTCCGTGGTGCCCCCAAAGTCTGTGTCTGGGCGCAGGAGGGTATCAAAGAGCAGGGCCACGGGGCTCTGGCAGCGGCCTTCGAGGCCTTCGGACAAGTAATCCAGGTCCTGGAGAAGGGGTGGGTCAGAGGGCTGCTGGAGGAGGCGGGGTTGTCTTCCCAGCACCTTGGGCTGGGCAGGAAAAGTGGAGACTGTGGCAGGCCATTTTCCTGAGGCCCTGGAGGGACCCAGTCTCACAGAGACATCCACACTGGGGGCTGTTTGGGAGTGCTCACTCGGGGGTCTCTCCAGGAGCCCAGGGGCCCCAGAGTACACACCAAATGAGCCACCTTAGAAGGGACTTGAGCAGTTGCCTGGTCCTGCATTTCCACCATAATATCAAGGTAGTCAGATAAGCTTGGGAGGAGCTGCCCCTGACAAGCTGATAACACATCCCAGCATATTAAAGACCCTGATATGTCCTGCAGCCGTCATTTACCTGTGTAATTTTGCCCAACCCAGTGTCTCCCAGATTTACTGGAGTGGGAACATTTTCTCTGCATATTACACTAAGGAGCTAGAGTTCTAGCTAAGGCACTTTGAAAGACGCTCATCTAGATCAAACAATCTCTACCCAATCTGAGGCTGGGTGTGTCCTCCCCAGAGCTCTGACCCACCTGGTCCAGGATGGAGACACCCGGAGCCTCCGAGAGCTTCCTTTGCAGCAGGGGGTGCGGGTGGATGGCATCTGGCTTCACGTAGGGGGTGTAGCCTGACAGCAGGTAGGACAGGCAGATGCCAGAGGGGCCATTGCCTGGGGAAAGAGGGCAGGGTTCGAAGGACAGTCTTTCCAGGCACCAGAAGCTACTGCTGAGGGTGTGGGTCTAATTTGGCACATTCATTCATTTTGGTCTAACCCAATATATTCATCCATTTATTATTCATTCATAAAAATAAAATACTTATTAAGCTCCTAGCCTATGCCAGACACTGTGCCTAATAAAAATCTGGAAAGAGCCCTGAGCCACTGCCAGGGCTTATGATGTACCCAGAATCGTACCAAGAGCTTCTATCAGCTGCACCACAACAGCTCTAGTGAGATAAGTGCTGTTCTTTTTTTCCCCTTTATATTGGAGGATACGGGGGCACAGAGAGGTTAAGTAACTTGCCTGTGGTCATACAGCTGGCAAGCAGACAAGCAGGATTGTGACCCAGACAGAGGGAACCCTGGACAGCACAACTGAGATCCTGAGATCTCCAGGCATGAGGCCTGCCTTCCCAGAGCTGGTGGTCTGGTTGGTCAGATGGACTGGTGGCTACATACCCTGGGGACGAGCTCCAGGTGAGTGCTGGGCGGGGTGTGCTCAGCCAACTGGGGCCAGCTGCCCCATCTGCCTGTCTGTACACTTCTTGGCAGCTCACCAGACCCGGCCCTGGGACCTCCCTTCTCATCTGTCTCTTCCCACTTCCGGCCTGGTCCCATTCAGAGTATTACCACATGTAGAAGGCCATGAGGAACCTTCTGGTATTGCAGCCATCCCTCTGTTTCGACTTACGACCATGGCCATCCCATGTGGCCCGGCCTGACACCTGCATACTGGGGGGTCTTTCCCCGTTTTGCAGACGAGGGATAGGACCCATCGGCCACAGCTTTGTCCTCCCATGTGGCCGGGCATAGGGTGACCACAGGCCAGCACAGGCTGGAACCCCCATGAGTGACCTCCACAGATGATCTGTTCCTGCTCCCAAGTTCTTGGGAAGATGGGAGGGTCGTTGATGAACTTTTGGGCATAGCACCGCCACGTGGGAAATGCTCTGTGGCTTCCCATAAAGACCCCCAGACCCTGAGGGATGCCTAGAGGCCCGGCCCCTCCTCCACACTCACCTATGACGATCACCGCGAGGGGCTCGGAGCTGCTGGTGCCCAGATGGTCCTTCCGTGAAGTGCTCATGGCTGTTGCCGGCGTGGGGCTCGGGGCTGGCCGCCGACCTGGGGACCAGAGGGGAGGCAGGGCCTGCTGGGTCAGGCTTGGGTGTCTCACAGCCATTTCCCAGCTAGGGTGGCCTCCCACAGACCCCAGGATCAAGTCCAAGGTCCCCTGAGGCATATCAGATCACAGGCCTGTTTCCCTCCCTGCAGCGGGTCCACATGCCTTCCCCTCCACTGGTCTGGCCACCCCAGTATCCTCCGTCCTTCAGGGCCTCACTCCACTCTCCCCATCTCATCAGTGGGGCTGTAAACGCTACCTGAGTCTTATCAGCTGTCTTCCCAGGAGGCCTGCCCTGCCCAGGCCTCCCAGGTGGCAACAGCCCTCAAAGTTCTGCGTGGCCTGGTGGACTTTGGAGTCATCACCTGGCCCTGGCACACTGCCTCCCAGCTGGTGACCGAGGGCCTGTTTCTGGTCTTAGTTTCCTCATCTGTTAAATGGGAACAGTAAGTGTCCTTTCCTTCCATGGTTGTTGAAGAACATGATGGGATAACAGGTGGGGAACGCTAGCCTGGAGTAAAACTGCCACTGAGAGGGGACAGCGCCTGCTGTCTGCCCAGGGCTGGGCTGGAACCCAGGACTTGGGGAAACTGGAAGCCAGAGGAACTTGGTTGGGAGAAACCGCCGCCAGCCTGAGCGTCTCTGGAGCACCAGCACCCCCTGCCGGCCCCAGGCCCACATCACTCAAAGGGACCCCATGGCAGCTCTCAGAGCTGCAGATGCCCGGGGAGGGGTTGACCCGTCTTCTCCCTACTGGCCGCACCCCGGCCACAGTGCTCTCACTGGCCTACCACTGTGGAATGTCCTACCAGTGTGACTGACCCATGTCACACATGTGAAACGGGGCCTGGAACTACCACACGACTGCTCAGTGTCACACAGCCAACTTTCAAACCCAGGGCTCATGGGTGCCAAGACTCACCTATCACCACTACTCATGCTGCTCTATCCCCAAAGGAGCCCTGGGCTTGTCGAGGGGACACACGTTCACAAGTGAAAGAGTGGATGGGCTAGGGTGAGGGCCCAGGGTCACCGGCCTCCAGAAGTCTTTCAGAGAAGGCAGAAATCTGAATTTTTAAAATGGGAATTATCTGATGTGGAGTAGTAAGCAGCTCATGCGCATTTTTGGAAAATCTTTTTTTTTTTTTTTTTTTTTG